ATGTCAACAAATCTCGCGCCGAAGGCTCGACCTTTCCGGGGGGTTCAGGGGACATGCTCCCCCATGAAAATGTTGAAATCTAAACCCTCTGAAACGCTGTTTCCTGCATTTTGGGGTGCAAATTTTGATGGTACACTTAGGTATATTTCTCTTACGTTTTTTTCGTGGGGGCGGCCCCCACTGCCCCCCACGGTGCCGCCGCCATTGGTTGTAAAGTGTGTTGTGAGTAATTGACCAGATTTGTTTTGCTATATTTAAAGAAGACCATCCAAAAATCTTAATGCTACCAGACGTGGGGGCTCAAATAATATAATGAATATATTTTATAGCACTTTTCAATCACTAGATATAGAACTTACATCAGTACATCAGTACTTTGTAGTCCACCATCTTTATTTTCCTGCAAAGCGTTATGGGTAAGTGAGACATCATAGCCACTGAGAATATTAGGTCATCTGTAAGTTTAAAAAGTAGGACTCCGAACTGGTAGAAAGCTTAGAAAATGATAATATAGCAATGCTACATTTGGCAACAGAGCTGAAAATATTTGTTTTTGCATTTTAACAGTTTTCTAGTTAATATACAGTTGATCGTTTTTTTATTATTTATTTTACCTTTATGGCAATATTTTTACTTTTTTTCTCTTTGCGGCATTTTAATTTTCATTATTATTATATGCATTAGTAATATGCACACTGAACATTTGAACTAATTTGCATTAGCATTTCTCAATATTTTCACAACTTTTTCACAAAAGTTACTATGATGTCATACTTTACCACAATGCTGGGGAATCAAGAAGGTGGACTACATAAAACTTACGAAAAGTTGAATGTCTAGAGAAGGAACTATAAATTGCGTTCTCCTATATTTGTAGAGCCTTTTGATCTGGGCGCATTATGTTGTTTGTCCGGTGCTGCTCTTTGAGTTCGCATTCCAACACATAATACCTGACATAGCAGCAGAAACACGACCAATTCATAAAGGAGACAACATTTGCATATGAATAGTGTATATGTACAGCAATGCTAAAAATAACATGCTTACCATCTTGTATGCTGCATTCATAAAATATTAAGCTGTTCGTCCTAATTAATAACCATACTTTATCCGTATGGTATACTCTCTTTATTGTATTTTGTTGCTCCGTGTAAATACATCAGTAAAATAAGCTTATCTGAGAGTGTTTTAATTGGCGATAGATAACAAAGTATTATTAATGCCTGTTGTTGCACTTTGACACAGTAAACCACGACGTTAAAACTCACGAAGCTCATCCAAGCTTATATGTACATCTATTACATATTATGGGATACTTTACTTTACATAACAATGTAAACTCTTGGGTTTAGGGGCACGGCATGGCACCAAGTTAATAAACAATGACGTAGACGTCCTTCGAATTTTACGACATATCTCAATGTGAATTGACGCAACTAAACAATGATTGTAAATCTTAACACATAGCACGCCCAGTAGTGGTAAAAGCACCTTCGCATTATATACTCTCCTGACATCATAACCTAGGGTAAGGATGGTTTATTTAACTTGTACATTTAGTTTGTTATTCGCTCATCGTTTGTCGTCCGTGCCGGCAACTTTTGCATTTTGAATTTTCTCCTTAAAAATCTTGAGCTACCTTTCTTTCCTTTGTTCTTTTATTAACATTTTCGCAATTTTGTAACCTCACCTAAATACCACCTCTTAACATTTTCGTTGCTTACCTTGTTGGTGTAACCAGATATTGTTGATGAGATCAGGCACATGGTGGGTTATTGCATTCACTATGCTTGAACATTGAGCTTGTGGATTGTTTTCTGTATTACTGCATTGTGTGGTATTATTTAAGTTGTGAATCTACTATTTGGAACATTTTTTCTTAGATTAGAATGATATAAATGTTAGTACCAATGTCTATTCAATAGTTGAGTGTACAATGACCGCTATGTTTTGTGTTTTATAAAAACAAATTTGGGTACCAGAATAATTTTTAGATGAATGTGCTATAAACTCTTACTACGGAGTTAATACCTAGGATTCTATGGGCGAAATGTTAAAGACAATGTCCAGCATTACCTTTGGTACCAATCTCCTTTCCATAGGTCTTTGCGCTTTATGCAATAGTAACTTTGTCACAGGCAACCTTCAATTTCGTGGTCAATCACCTCACTACGCACGGTAATTGTTTAGCAATTATATCACCTGAAACCGAACTACAAACAGTCAAAACAATGTACGGAATAACTATTTATTAATGTCTGACCGCCTGCGATGCTTCAAAATCACTAATGAAGAATAAAACAACGAATTATCTTATTGTTTGTACCCATGTGATCTTTTCACGGTCCGTTGCTAGACCAGTCAGCACTTCTGTCCACTGTCGAAATTATGTGACGTGTCGTCTGCCCCACTAATAATGCGCGGCACATGTGAAACGAAGAAACAGGTCAAGGACAGTCTCCACGATTGGCTTTCTATTGGTGTCACCTGCCAAGTAGACGTTCGTATATGTGCCCTCCTCATATATTCATTGAGTGGTTACTTAATCGGAGTAAGAGGTTCACAATAAAGTTGACGTTCTTTAGCTTATTTCTTGCATTATGATTAGTTATATTGTTATTGTTAATTCTTTCAAATATTTAAAAAATCTGGTGATAGGCACGGGTTCTCATTTAAAAAATGGGGATAGGCGGGAGGGGTTTTCATTTGAAAACTGGGGTGAGCCTGAGAAGTTCCCACTTAAAAACTGGGGGTAGGCAAGAGGAATAGTGAAAATCAACAGAAAAAAAATCCAGATTCTAATTTCAAATAGGTAAACCTTCATGCCAGATATGTGTTACAGAAGTGACGAGAACGTTTTTAGGACAAATCCTAAAAAGACCAGTGTCAGAACCAATAATGTGTACATAATGGGAGCCAAGACACCCTAAAAATAAAATCGCATTTGATGATGGCTAATACATACAAATTATAAAAGGACGACACTGAAGAAAATCTAAATGAATAATAACTAGTAAATTAATTACTCATCAACCCAGTCAGGTGAACATTTCCCATTATCAAGGGGTAGACGACAACCCAGTCAGGTGAACATTTCCCATTATCAAGGGGTAGACGACAACCCAGTCAGGTGAACATTCACAATATCATGGAGCAGACGACAACCCAGTCTAGTAAACATTTCACATTATCAGGGGGCAGATGACAACCCAGTCAGGTTAACATTTCACATTATCATAGAGCAGACAACAACCCAGTCAGGTGAACATTTAACATTATCAGGGGGCAGACGACAATCCAGTTAGGTGAACATTTCACACTATCAGTGGGCAGACGACAACTCAGTCAGGTGAACATTTCACATTATCAGGGGGCAGACGACAACCCAGTCAGGTGAACATTCACAATATCATGGAGCAGACGACAACCCAGTCTAGTAAACATTTCACATTATCAGGGGGCAGACGACAACTCAGTCAGGTGAACATTTCACATTATCAGGGGGCAGACGACAATCCAGTTAGGTGAACATTTCACACTATCAGTGGGCAGACGACAACTCAGTCAGGTAAACATTTCACATTATCAGGGGGCAGACGACAACCACGTCAGGGGAAAATTTCACATTTAATATGGAACACTATGGGATCGGATTAGGGGTCTTCCACTGCTTTGGTGTCAGAATTACCTAAGCAATAGGTACCAAACTGTTAACATCAATGGGACTTTGTCATCACTAAAGCGGGTCGGTTGTGGAATTCCCCACTGGTCAATTTTAAGTTCTCTTCTTTTTCTTCTCTACATTAACGACATTAACCATGCATCTAACCGTTTTGATTTCCGTCTATTTGCAGATGACACAAACTTATTTAAATTTCTGAACACTAATAAAATAAGCCTGATATTACTAAAGATCACAGTGAAGTCGTTAGATGTAGTCAAGCTAACAAACTTACAATAAGACAGTGATAAGAGTAGAAAAAACTAACTATATGATCATAAAAACTCCACAAAAACCTACCCAGTTGCAAGGTTGTCTAGACGTTGACGATTAGCCTATAGAGGGCGTACCTTCAGTCACCTACTTAAGGGTTAGCATTGATCCATCAATGACATGGAAAACTCACATTGAAAAGGTTAAGAAAATTATCAGCTCCAAAGTAGGCACAAATTCTCGCATTCGCCACTATGTCCCTAAATTAATACTAATCCTTCTATATAACACACTAATTCTGCCACATTTAACTTACTGCATTCAAATTCGGGGGAAGAACTATTTTCTCTAGACCAAAAAAGAAAATTTCGAACATCCTTTGTTTTCTTCTTTCTCACATTGTTTTTTCTGTTGTTGTATATTTTATGGTGAAATAAATAAATCAAATCAAATCAAAATCATTATCAGCGGTAACTGTGACTGATGGTAGAGAATGGTCCCACTAGTCTCTGCCACAAGCTAATTTAAATATTAATGACCGGACCTACTTTTTGCTTTGCCATGAGTGCGTTCGCGTCTCTCCCTGGGGGTGCTCCAAACGACATGGTGGGAAGTAGATGTATTGGTCTGTTTCTATGTGAGCGAAACTCGTATAAATTGTATAGACTTTATTTTGAAATCACGCCCACTAGCATTTTATGTTTGAGAAAATTACCTAAACACATTTTACCTATTGATTTCGTAGTTCGCTATCTTTTCCCCAACATCGCCCAGTTATGACGTCATATAACAGTCGAACCAAAACTGGGCAGGCGCGAGGCGCCCGCGTCACCCGAGGCAACGACGCGAACGCACCGACGGTTTACATCTACGTATTCTACCGCAGGATCTACTTTTTCATTATTTTAACATTTTAAAAAGATTTTAGCACTGAATGAAAAAAATATTTGATATATTTATTTTAAATAAAACACATTTTGTCAAAACTCGGAATACCAACAGTTGTGTTACTGGAAAGCTAATATGTTGTTACAATTACATGTTTTGTTACAGGTTTTAGCGCAAGATGACATCCACTATATTATCGAACAGCACGTACACTATAACTCTTAACAACACGATGTCATACACCATGTTGCCAAACACCACGGCGTCATACACCTTATTGCCAAACACAACAAACGTGACAATGACTGCCGCAGCGGGATTTCAACCATCACAAACTTTGGTACTTGCTGCTCAAATCAATCTCAACCTGTTGTTGGTGCTGCTTATGATTGCACTCGGGTGTACTATGGTTTGGAAAGAAATTAAAACAGTATTCATAAGACCAATTCCAGTAACTGTGGGTGCACTATGTCAGTTTGGTTTTATGCCGTTAATTGGGTTCGCACTGGCGATAGCGTTCGATTTACCAGCCAACATTGCTATAGGAACCATCCTTATTGCGTGTTGTCCGGGAGGATCAGCTTCAAACGCAATGACATATTGGTCGGAAGGTGACATAACACTAAGGTAATATTATTATCATGTGAAATGTGTCTATATCAACTAGTGGTAGTATGAGCTATACGTTTATACATACAATAAATAAACTGGTCAGTGGGATGAAGCTGGGTAATACGACTCATAAAATATCCAACATTATATTATACCAGTATATTGATGGTGTTAATCCATTGATTTGATTGGTCCAAACACAAAATTTGCATATGCAATCCATGGTATATTGGCTGATAATGCACGGCTAAACCAAGTGGCCCTGGAACATGAATTGACTACAGGTTTAATACGAAAATGCATAAAACCGGTATTATTTGATTTTTAGGTAAATATAGTGGTTGAATTTTAGAAGAATATTGAAAAAAAAACTGAATTAAAAACATCTGAACAGTTATATAACTATAATATTGCTTTTTGTTAATGGTGGGATCCAAGTTGTGAGCGTCGGTCGTTGGGTGATTGTCGTTCGCCACACAAACCTAAACCACCGTTCCTTAACACCGTGAGGTGCCGACACGAACGCCAAAAC